ACTGGACACAGGCCTGAATTGGGCACACATCAATTTTGTCACGTGGCGTTCGAAGGCATGCACTGACGCAAAGGGCGACTTTTTCCGAGTGAACTTTGTTAATCATTGCAGCTGCTATCAGTTGGCTCAATAAATCACTTGTTTTTCAATTAACGAATTCATTTTGAGTGTCACACTATTTGCCCCTCTCTCCACTATGCGTGAAAAACCGATACCTAAATGCTCCCAGATTTTTGAAATTGACATCAATGAATGACTTCTTGGACTACCTTGCCTTTGTGAAGTCATCGAAGCCTGAAAAAGTGTCGCGTGGCTAGCATGGCCTGGTTTTTGCCATACGCGCACTTGGTTCACTTCACCCGAGTACTACATCGTGCACGGCTTTGTAGCTATTCCTAAGTGATCACTTCGGCATATGGTTCTCTTTAATTTCCGAGAATAAATTAATCAACACAGTCTTTCTGGGTGGGAAGAGGGGAGAGCAAACAGAAATACTAGGTCCTGACCACCTGGTGCAAGAGACAGACTCGTAAAAGCGTTGACATGTAATATGTCAAACACAAGATACCCGGTTTCTAGAAACGGATGGAGTCACTCAAGCCCGTTACGTGAAGAGAATCTCTTTGTAGTCAGCTTACTTAGCCTCTTTTTAGAATACCATAGTGAAGAGCTTATGACAGCGCCATGCTTTGGCCATCGAGGAATGGCGCAAAATTACAAAAATAGCGCTGGTTTGAATTGTCTTCGATTCTGCAATAAAACTGGATACTTTCTCAAACTTGGTAAGACGGCACTCCACTGTCGTTGGCAGCAACTCAGAGAATTTTGAGGCCGTTTTCGCTGCAATCAAGTTTGTTTAGCTTGCCAAATGGCCAAGATATTAACGCTATGGCAACCCGAATCCGTACGGCTAGTACTTCTGTAAAGGACTCAGATCGAAAGCTTACAAAACGGCTCAGAATCCGATCCATAAGGGCTGCTTTCAGGTCTCGGGCCAACCAGGAAACACCTGCACGAGAAGTCTGGTGGAAGCCGCCTCAATCGAGTATCTGCATCTGTAGGGGTGATTGGAAAGTGAATAAGGAATGTCTCGTTGAACAGTAGATGGATGTTTCAGTCAGAATCCGAGCTCATTGGCCCTTTCGGATTCTAAGTCTCTCCATGCACCCTCAATTTACGCCTTCTCTCTACATCAGAACCAGGGTCAAGCGTGCGTTGAGGAATCCTCGACATGGGGGGGGGGGGTCGTATTGGCCCGCTGGGAAGAGATCGGGCCCGATTGATGCAGTAGGATCATCACCGTCGGAGGACAAACATCAAGGATCGAGTCGATGCCAGGCCAGAGGATTTCCAATAACAATGATATTCCACCACACAAAATTTTCGTGATTCTGAGGCGTCCGCGTAGTAATTCTTAGTTACTTCAGAGTTTTATCACTAAACAAGTTAAAGAATCGGAATTCGCACTTCCTCGAATGAAGGATTGTGAAGCAGAGGCGCGTCCCAGAGTGGGCCCAGTTGTTGCGCGCGCTTCAACTACGGCTCTCTGGAGAAAGAATCTCAATTCAGGAAAAATCAAGAGGATTCTGAAAGGGTCCGTGTGAAATTACAGCATTCAACATTCAACGCAGTCTTCAGCCTTCGGCGTCAGGGAGGAGTACGCCATTCAAAACGGAACGCTGTCTTTAGCGTCAAATTCACATCACAAGCAGTAAAGTTGGGATACGCTCAGCAATTTTACAAATCCTGGAAAGAGATAAGCACGAGAATTTCGAATTCGCTCCTACTTCAGTATATAATCGCCCCTGAAATGAGTTATAGGGCGAAAATACTGCCAATGCCTTGTAAAGTACCTTTCGGCGGTACTCGTGCAAAAATCCTCAATGCGGCCATTAAATAGAGCAAATTTTCTATTTTATGACGGCGTATTAACTTTTCAAACTTGAAGCAGGTTATGGCTTCGGAAAATTTGAAAACTCGCACTCATCACAAATTTTCCTCGTTAATTAATCTAAATTTGTTATTTCTTATAACTTTTTGTAATTTCTGTACTGATTAGAAAAGCTCTTCACAAAACTTCCAAATCTGCTTTCAGATTGAAAATTCGTCATATTTGAAGAAAGTTATAATCATTTGAATATTTGTTCAAATTTCAATAGTAAATAAGCTGCTCCACGGTCAACGCCAAAGTCCAGTCAACACACAGCTGGCGAAGGCGGTCAAATCAAAGGAGACGTGTAAATTGAGAGCGCCTACCCTGTGTAGTACTAAAATTTGGTAAGCCTTCCAAAAATGTAAAGGAAGAGAGATGCTCCATAGTCTGCCTTTTTCATGACCATTTCGTCGTTCTTTGCCCCTTTTGTTCATAGGACTCATTTAATAGTGATCATTCTGACTGTTCGACTATGCCTTCTTGAAACGGAATCATTTTGGTGGAGGGTGGGGAGGCTAGTTGGCTTTAATAAATGTTTTGGGGTATGGGTGATTTAGGTTCAGTCTTGTCAATGTTTCGAGCTTGTGAACAAAGAGAATCGGCTCGAGATGAACACATTACGGTAGCTTCCGGGATTGAGGAGAGGGGCCCGGGGCGGCGTATTCAATAAACTCTTTCCTCAACGCCTCGCTTGACCTCATCAGAACCCTTTTGCACAACCCTGTCTTCAACATTCGAATGATGACCCCATGATTCTGCACGTGATACGATCAGCCACATATCCATGTGAAAGCTGGCGAATCCCCTCAGTCTGGACCACCCTAGTGTGGGCTTATTGCCCCTTTAACCCGGATGAGTAATTACGATTGGTTGCCGCCAGTGTGGGGTAATTCATAAGACCGGTCCCCCAAAATCGTCTGTAGTCGCGCGCGGTGCTCAACGTTTGGCTATTGTCCACAGCCTGACCCCAGACTGCATTCCTGTCGTATAACTTCGTATAATGTATGCTATACGAAGTTATTACGATTCATTGTTTTGGAGCGTTTCGCGTAGTTCGCCGAAAGGAGGACGAGAACGTTTCGTAGGTACAGTTCGCAATCCTTAAAAAGGGCAATTCGAACATCTCTTTTTTCCGAACCTGTTCCAGTCGGTGGCTATTCGTCGAATCACGCAGAAAGGTCTACTATAAAAAGGATGCTTGGTGATGGGCAGTCAATCTTTGAAGGTTCATTCACCAACGATCCCATTCTTGCTAGCTTCTGATTCTGAAGGGTTTATTGATGAAAATCATCTTCGGTCTTATTCTGCTTCTATCCTTTGCCCTAATAGTATCAGGGAACAGATGTGAGTGAGAGTTTTTTCATGCTGTTCTGAACTAACACTATCTCCATTCAGTCCTCTCTTTAGATCAGCTCATAATTTCTGAGATACCGCACTCCAAATATTTTTAGGGAAGCGAGTGAAAAGGTCGCATTCGCATGGGCATTACGGGTACGGACGTCGACGGCCGTGGGGCGGAGGATGGGGCGGCGGTGGCTGGCCCGGCTACAATATAGGCCCAATCGGTCCTGGTTACCCTGGCTACTACGGTGGTTTCTCTCCATACCGGATGTTTGGAGGTAAGATTTGGTCAAATCTACGGCATCGCCATGCATTACACGGCTATTAGAAGACTCGGTTTCAGGCTGGGGAAAGTGACAAAGCGAGACCGTGTTCAAAAGCATTCTGTAAAGAGTTTCAGAGAAATGACATGCAAAAATTCGTATTTTTGCTATTTGTGTTGTGACTTGAATAAATATTTATTTATTGAACATCATATACCAAATGCCATCAGCAATGTGAACGCCACAAAAACCAGTTAGCGTTGAGCCGACAGATCAACGAGCGACCTTACTCAAACACGTGACTCATTTTGCGTGGAAGTTCCTCAAACACGAGAAAGTCCTGGGACTTAGATAATGTGTATTTGCATTTTACACGGTATCAGATTAGGAGCCAAGCTTGCTGTAGCTAGGTAACTACCGAAGCTAATCATAGGTTGATATACTTTCGCTGTTCCGAGGTCCAAGGATAGACATCGGTTGAGACTATGTAGAGAAAGTGTTGAAACCTCATTAGCTATCGCACACACTGAATATGAGCCATTCGAACTTTTTAGAGATGAGACATTTTCGACAGAAGTTCGAATTCATGGCCGTAAAGTTAGTATGACCTATACTACTCAAGAACACACCTGCAATTCACCTTTACCTCTTTATGGATGTGGTGTGGTTGATAATGCGTTCTAGTAGATAGCCGTTCCTGAAGGTCGCCTGCGCAGAGGTAATACAATATTTGAAAAGGAAAACCACTTGTTTCTCGGCTGTCGTCACTTGTGGTGTGTGCTCCGCACTCGAAGCTCTTCTCGTCCTCCGATACAGATGGTACCCGCCTTTCATTAGTGGGCGTAGCATACTCTTTCAGAAACACTTTATTTAATATATTATAGACACAACAACAACATGAATCGATGATCATAGGCTTAGCAATTGAACGTGGAACAGCAGACTTTCTGCCTATATCTGTAAGAGTAGACGCAATTCGGCGTGTCGACCCAAAGACACTGATCTTGCTTGAAGCACTGCAGGGGCATAGTCGTACCTGGGTACATTCGTACCTTACCTGAAAGTTATATTTCACACAGTTGCAACCTTGTGAAAAGGGATGAAAGAAAAGCAGGAATTTCTACATATAGTTGGCATTAAGAACCCGCCTTTTGCTAGATTAAGAGAATGGGGCTGCTTTCATGCATTTAGAAGGAAAGTGAACAGAGAATTTCTCCGAATGGTGAGAAGATGTTC